TAGCGTTTTTCATTTCAATGCGTAGATTTCTTTTGTCAGATCTGAGCTCGTTGAAAAGGCGGTCTCTGTCTTCTTTGTTTTTTGTACGGGTGATAAGTCTCCTCGTCGATGAGCATTTTTTCTTAAGGTGTTGTATTTCGTCATTCCACCATGGTGTAGGTTTTTTCCTGTTGTTGCTGCTTTTTGTTTTAAAAGTTTTATTGCATGCCTGGGTGATTATTTGCAGGCAAGTGAGGGCTGTTAGCACTGTGTTGATGGTTGCATTTTGTACGGCTTGTTTGGTGTACTTGGTGAAATCTTGGAATTTTTCCTTCTTGAGCCACCATCCTTGGTGAGAGATTTCCTTGGAGCAAGACGGGTTGGGGCTGTTTGATTCATAACTGATTTGGAAGGTAATGGTGTTGTGAAAACTCATATTTTCTTCAGTGTGGGTGATTAAGTCAGAAATGCGATCTTGAATAGATGAAGAAGCGATGATAAGGTCGATATAAGAGTTACCCATGGGACCAGAGAAAGTCGGCGTATTTGAGTGTGGGTCGTTTTTGACTATTAGATCGTTTGCGGAGAGCCATTCGCAGAGGATCTTGCCTCGGGGGTCATCTAGGCGGTCTCCCCATTGCGTCGAGCGGCAGTTAAAATCGCCCATGAGAATAGCGGGTTTTGTTCTGCTTTTCAGGTTGTGGTCAAGTTTATTTAAGAAGTCTCTAAATTGTGCGATTGTTAGAGCAGGCGATGGGTGAATATAGCAGCAGTAGAAGACGATGTTATTGTACTCAAACGTAACAAAGCCGGGGTGCTTTTCCCAATTAGTGCATCCTCCGATTAGATCAGGCGTGGTGAAGACTGCCACATCGTTCGAGGTATCAAGAAAATTACCATCGAAGGTAGCTTTGTAGATGTTTGGTTCAGGCAAAACAATCAGTCCTGATCGGGTTTCGGCGGCCAGCTTCTTTGCTGCGTCATGAGATTCCGGAACTCTGCCTGTGTTACATAAAAGTGCCGAAAAACTGTTGGTCTTTTGGTTGTTTGCTTTCTTACGAGCCATAGTTGATTTTCTTGAGCTTCGCCTCCAGAGCTTGGATGAAACAAGGGCAGTTTTTATCGTTGATAGCGTGTTTCAGGTTGTCTAATTTTCCGCTGGCAATGCATGCTGAACATTTGTTGCTGTTTTTCTTTTTGCACTGATCTGATTCATGATGTTCGAAGTTCTTCAGCAGACTCAGGTTTCTTTGCTTGAACTATAGCTTGAACATGTTTATCTAGCTTATGAATTCCTTCTCCGTCCAACATGTGACCAAGAAATTCAATAAATGTGAGGAAGAATTGACATTTTTCGCGAGAGAGTTTAATACCCGCCTCTCTCAGCTACTGAAAAAGTTTGTCAAGAATTGCTAAGATTTCTTCAATTGAGGAACCAAATACTAATATATCATAAAAAAAAATTGACAGCTCCTTTGATACCTTTTAAGATTTGCTCCAGACGACGTTGCCAGGCAGCAGGGATATTAGAGACACCATACTGCGCTCTTGTAGGCTGGATTAACCCATGCGTTGGAGTGTTCAGAGTCATAGCTTCGCATGCAGCCTGAGAGCACCGAAGATGCATGAATGCGTCCTTAACATCCAACTTGCAAAAGTATTTACAGCCACGAATTTTTGCAAAGAGTTCCTCCGGCCTAGGAATAGGATAGTCGTCAATTATAAGGTTAGGATTGAGAGTGGTTTTATAATCGCCCGTAATTCTCAGCTTGTTGTTTTTCACAACAACATGTGTGGGACTAGCCCACTCAGAATGATCAACCACCTTATAGAATCCTGATTTGATTTTTTCATCAATTTGGGCAGCGTACTGATCCAGCATAGAATAGGGAAGCGGTCGAGCTCTACAGAATTTAGGTTTTGCACCTGGCTTGAAGTGAAAATCAAAGGCAGGTCCAGTGAGGGTACCTGCTTTATCCCCAAAAATATCTTTGTGTTTGTCGAAAAACTTGTTAAGGTTAATAGAGTCCATTTTATTTAGAGAATTGTGTGCACATACATTGTTAATGTCAGTTTGATTGTGGAGTAGTTCATGAAGAGAGAGGAGAACTGCAAAAGGTTTAATCCATTGACGACCAAAAATGTTATCGCCAGGGATATCAGTGATGAATAATTTGAGGTACCTAGTACGATTCCTGAAAGTCACTTTAGCCCATATGTAACCTGTACAGTTGAACTTAGTTTGAGTGTAAGAGGTGAAACTTTCATTAATTTTAGTCATTCTGGCACGAGGAAATAATTTAAGGAGCGTGCTATGACTGATAAGGCTACAGGAACCACCTGTGTCGAGCTCCATACGGAGTGATTTACCATTGATGAGGACATCGAGCAGAATTGGTGGACTGCCGCCAGAGATTGATTTAAATTGATGTTGCAGATAATAGGTATCAGAATCGGGACGAAAATCATGAACTTTAGAATTATCAGAATTGTTTCTGGTATTATCATGAACTTCTTTACCATTAGAGTACTTTTTCTTCTTACATGCATTGACAATGTGACCTCGGGTTTTACAGTAATTACAGACAGCATCATTAAATTTACATGTACTGCGGTTATGGGAACCTCCACAAGATAAACAAGGGTTTGTGTTCTTACTGTGAGAGGGATTGCGATGAGAATTCTTACTGTGAGACGGGCTGCGGTGTGAGTTCTTACTGTGA